AAGATTAAACTAAATGTTATTATTTCAAAAGGGAAGGATGCGATTCTACTTTTTTTAAAACATAATCGAATATCTCTTTCGATATAAAGAGTTACCAAGTGAGCTCATAAATAGAATCGAAGTTAAGAATTGACTTATAGATTCAAAAAAATAGAAAAACGAATTGTTCTAAAATTGAAATAAAATTACTAAATAGATGAAAAAATATTAATAAAAATTTTTCTTTTAGCCTTTGAATGATAAAACTCCATATTTGACTCAAATCTGGTAATTTATTCTTTTTATTTAACATAAGGAGATTGAAATACAAATAATTATCTTTAATGATTGTTCCAATGTGTGTATTTAATTGCTTATTTCCATGAGAAGCTTTTATATGGAGATACTTTTTAGATTTGAATCTTTAATTGTTAGTTTTATTTATCAGAACAGCAGTTTATTTAGGAGTTAGAAATATTAAATTAATAATTATACCTGCAAATAATAAAGTGATAAATTGTTATAATATCTCATCAATATCTTGGCTTTCTGATTAAGAATGATAATTGTCGATTTAATCTTAAAGAAGAACATCTATAAAAAGATTTGACTTAGAATTGCCCTAGCTCTATTGTGTACTTGATTTCATTTCTATTAATCTATTTCTAATTAATTTTGTATTTTCTTTTCTTTTTCTATTGGGAAAAATTATAAGCTGTAGTAATTAAATATTAACCTAATATGATTCTTTTGACATAAACATATTTAGACTTTAATCTTATTTCTCCCATATCATTTAGTAATTCTGCTATCACTACTTAAATATCATTTTAAAATGTTGTTATTTTCTTAGAAGTATCTCCAAAAAAGCGTTTGATTACTATTTCTCCTGTTATAAGCTCCAAAATATTGTTGCAGCAATATAATCCTGAAATCATATCATGGCTAACATGTTTTATCATTACCTATTTTTTAGTTTGAGGAATTCATATTGTTCTGCTAAAAGAGTTCTTTAAGTCTTCTAATGATCATTCATTTCAAAAATCAAACCTTTTTTCATTAAATTGCTAATAATAAGAAAGACAATTACTTATACTTACATTCCAAAGAAAGTTAGAAACAAATATTTTATAAGAGTGTCTTTTATATTACTTCTTTTCATATTTAAAAATGTCATGAGTAATCTCCATCTCATTGAATCACTTCCATATCTCTCCTTCTAAGAAGTGATATGACTTTTTGCAATCCTATCCAAACTACATCTTCAGCTAAAAAATTGATCACAATAGTTTAAGAACAAAAACATAAATGAATAATACAAAAAAAGCCTAAAAGAAGGTGATTTAGCTGTTTAATTGTATTTAAGATATTCTCAAAAATTTTCAATCGATTTATACAATTATTTGTAGAATACATAATTTTATTATATAGTATACTCTGTTATAATGAATTAAAACTATTATTGGAATTTATTATTTAAATTTATTTAATTATGTAGATATAGTATTTTTGAAAATATATTTATAATTTTATATTCATCTATTCTAAGATATAATGGATAATCAAATTTTTATTTTATATCTTAAATTTGAGTAGTTAATAATTATATAGAATGGAACTTTATGAAGAATGATTATTAATAATATTTTTTAAATACATAATTGAAAATTAAATTGGAATCTTATACAAGATCTACAAAGTGTAATAAAGCAAGAAAAGCAAAAATGAATTTCCAATAATTAGAATCAGAACCATTCAATGTAACCTAAATCTAAAAAGTAACAAATAAATATCCTCCTCCATCTTTTTGTATATTTAAGCAGTGGCTATGTCATAATAACACCGACAATTTGATCATTTGATAATAAAGCACTAAATAACCCTTATTCTTTTATTTCAGAACCTTGTAATGTACTTTTATTTATATAAACCTACATTTCTGAAAATAGTGTTGTGAAGGAAATTGATAAATATGCTAATGAGTAACCAAGTGCCAAGTTACCACTTTGAATAGCAATCATAAT